TTTTTAAAAATATGTTTAATATTAAATATATTATTAGATATTGATATAAAATGTAAAAAACTAATTGTAATATTACATAAAACATTGAATAGCAATCATAGAAACTCCAAATACTGTATCTAAATGTGACAATATTTTATATATTGTTATATTTAACTACAAATATCTAGATTTAAAGATATTTAATGTATATTTACAGTAGGGATTTTATTATTTATGTTGGTTTGGTACTGTGAAAAGGTTTGTGCCATTTTGAAAGAGAGAAAATAAAGAGATGCGGTCTTAAAGGTATTTATTTTCACGGTGTTATACCCAAAATAAAAGCACTGGTGTTATTGGTATCGGTGAGTACTAAATAAATCAATTAAAAATTTTAAATACTTCTACTCTGTCTAAAAATGCAGTAAGTGCACTGTTTCAATTCACTATGAATATGTGAAGCTGCTTTGACACAATCTACATTGTAAAAGCGCTGGAGAAATAAAGGTGAATTGATTTGAATTGAAACAGGACGGCGAATAATTCTGACTTGAACTGTGTTTCTGTGTGTCTAATCTTAATTTTTGTCTCTCCACAGACTCTCAGAAACCAAAACGGGACGGAAAGAAGAAGGAGCGAAACCCTACAGACTAGAGGAGGAAAACTCCTGAAGCGTCTCCTTCTGCCTCCTGAAGACGCTTCCTATTCCTCATGCTATATTTTTAGATCTTTTGTAGCGTTCACTTACAGCTCACCCAGTACTAAATAAGAGAGAAAGAGAAACAAAATGAGTCCACTAAAATCTTCAACACAAAAATCTGAGATGACAGAAAGCACAACTGAAAGAGTGTTTTATTGCATTGATGAGTGTGTGTTTAATTGGCCTCATCAAATAGTGTCTTCGACTAGAGTGTGAAGCAGAACTTACTGAGTTTTACATTAGTAGGGAATTATTACTGTTTTAATGCAGCATTTGGTCATTGATTTATGCAGCACTGATTATTAACATCATCTGATGCTTCTCAAACATCCCTGCATATTTAACAGTGAAATAAAACAAGTGTACTATTGAAGACACAGTTCTTTTTCAAATATTTCACAAGTGCTGATTAACAGAGCAAGGGCACTTTTCCAACTTGGGCTCATTCTGAAAATGTACCCCTGTATACATTTCTGGAGATCACGAAATACGTCCCAGGAGCTACGTTTTTTGCACACTTTTTTTAGATCTCAAATTTCTCTCGCAAGTGTCGTTTGCGCCTGCTGTTCTCGTGTAAATCCACCAGAGGCTGCTGTTGACTGACTGACTGACTTCCCTTAACCCAATCGACAGTGTTTCCAAAAGCAGTCCAGAAAAAGTAAATCCTTCGTCTGATTTTTATCACGTTTTCAGATTTTACCACATTTTCACCCTGTTATTTATTTGTTTATTTTATTTTTTAGCTTTTATTTTTGTCTTACCTGCTTTCTGGAATTGTTCTTCGCCAGACTTGAACCCTGTCATCATGGTCAACTCCTTTCTGTGTCTCAAGTCCACCAATGTACATGGAGAGTCACTGGACAAACTGGTAACAGCTGAAAAGCCATCCCCACAGAGGTAAGCGGCCAGCTGATAAGCGTGAAAAGGAACAACATCACACTGCCCCGTAGCGTTCGTTTTAAATATGAAATGCAAGCTTACGTACTTCTGGCTACGTAATTTGCAATCTCCATAAATGTAAACAGCGGTACATTTATAGAATAAACCTGTTGCATTTTTTTTTTCAGTGTTCATTTTTCTTTGGCTTAGCCTCTATTTTAGTCACCACAGTAGAATGAACTGCCAACTATTCTAGTATATGTTTTACACAGCGGATGTCCTTCCAGCTGCAACCCATTACTGAGAAACACCCAAACACTTTCATTCACTCATACACTCATACACTACGGCCAATTTAGTTAATTAATTCTCTAATAGCGCATGTGTTTGAACTATGAGGGAATTCGGAGCACGAGAACATGCAAACTCCACACAGAAACGCTAACTGACCCAGCTGGGACTCAAACCAGTGACCTTCTTGCTGTGAGGCAACAGTGCTAACCACTGAGCCACCTTTCACATTATTTCCTATCATATTTTTCTTTTGGAGAAAGTCTTTATTTCTTTTAGTTTTGCTAGATTAAAACTATTTTGATTTCATTTTTAAATAAAAGGTCGATATTATTCGCCCCCTCACGTAAAATTTAAGTTGTTTTTTTTTTAAGATTTATTTTTGGGATTTTTATGACAGTTAAAAAACAAAAGTAAAAAAAGACAACAACAGTACAAATAGAAAAAAGTATATAACAGTACAAAATTGATAAAAATATATATAAAATAAACCACACTATAATCCTCATATTGTGCGACGCACAGTATAGGATGTGCACAAACAATATATCGTGTGCATTAATTTTTAAAATTGAGCATATAAACAGGTCGGTACCGGAAGTTGGGGTTGACAGCCTGGTGCATTAAGTCAAATAAACAATGATAATAAAAGAAAAGATCAAATTCAAAGTGAGAGAAAACAGAAAATATTTTAAACTAAATAGGCTGGGGGGGGGTGGGGGGGGGGGGGTTATTGTGGTTTTATGTCAAGAAAAAGTTGTATGCTTGTGCTATATCAGCAGCACTACTACTCATCTGGAAGGCACAAGTCAAAACAAAAATGCAAGATTGTCAACCATTCACTCCACAGTAACTGCCCTGAAGTCTCTGATATCTGACATGCTCCAAAAATGGCAACTAATTTTTAGAAAATTTGACCACTGAACCTCGACTGTGTTTAATGTTTTAAAAATTTATATAAGTATTCAAATATTTCTCAACAAGAAACAATTTTCAAGGTGTTACCTATTATATGTTTTCTCCTGGATAAAACCTTTTTTCTTAAAGTTTGGCTGAAATAAAAGCCGCTTTTACCTTTTATTTTTAGCTCCTTTTCCAGATTGTCTGCAAAACCATCCCTTGTTGTCCAACAACTTGCCCAATCAACCAAACTTGCTTAACTAACCTAGTTAAGCCTTTAAATTACACTTCAAACTGAATAATATCCAGCAAAATAACTAGTAATATTTTGTTCTGTCATCTTAACAAAGACAAAAGAATTTAGTAGTTACAAGTTAGTTATTAACATTTGGAAATGTTCTCCCTGTTAATCACAACTCCAGCTCATTCTGATTACGTACCCCATATACATTTCTGGAGAGCGGCAAATATGTCTTAGGATGTATGTTTTTTTTATTTTTGTTATTGCAAATCCAACAGAGGCCGCTTTGCGCTTTTTCAGATCTCAAATTTCTCTCGTGAGTGTCATTCGCGCCTGCTGTTCTCACATAAATCCACCAGAGGCCGCTGTTGACTGACTGACAGACTGACTGATCGACTGACCCACCCTGCTCCTTTCCTAAACCCAACCAATAGTGTTTTAAAAAGCACCGATTAACCTTCCCACGGACTTCCCCTTAACCCAACTGCAGTGTTTTAAATGCAATCCAGAAAAAATAAAAGCCCTGATTTTTACCACGCTTTCAGATTTTACCACATCCTCACCCAGTTATTCATGTTTATTTTATTTTTTTAGCTTTTGTTTTTGTCTTGCTTTCTGGAACCATTCTTCACCGGACTCGAATCTTGTCGTCGCGGTCAACTTTTGAGCTCCCGGACAAACAGGTAACAGTGGAAAAGCAGTCCATAAAGAGGTAAGCTGTCAACTGTTAAGCTTAAAAGGAACGGCCTCATACCGCCACATGGCGTTCAATTTACAGATGAAATGCAGCCATACATTTTGACTATCTCCAGAAACATTATTCGTGATCTCCAGAATTGTATACAGGGCTACGTTTCAGAATGAGCCTACAGTATGTTGGTTAAACAGCACTTGAGAAATGTGTTCAAGAGAATTAAAAGTTGGCACTGTTTCTTTAACTCTACTGTATGTTTAACTGTATCTTTAGACACATTCCAATTTCCATTTGAATTCCAAAATAGAACTCTGGATCCTGTTTGGAAGCGCAGTTCCAATCAAATTCGAACATTTACATTTAGAATGCACAATAAAAAATTCCGTCCAGCTGGAGGATCAAAGAGAAACACATCCAAACCGAAACGAATGCTGTGACTGAGAGTCTGTGCTGTTATATGTAACAATAAAGACATTAATTATTCCTTTCCATTCTCAAGCGAGCGTTTCATTGGTGGAATCATCACACTGCAGGACGGTTACTCATCATAACACCTTTATTGGCTAGAACTCTTCTTCAAAATGATACCGCACAATACAGCAAATTTTATAAATACATGTTCATCGGCAATCTCCTTTCAGTGCCCTAATAAAGATCAATAACATTCATATTCATTAATAAACACATGTATTTACAGCTCATCTGTGCTACACATACAGACTAAATAGTATAATACAAACAGTAAGCTGATAACAAACCACACGTCTACTGATGGAAGCCACAAAATCACGGTGAACAGAAGCACGTGACGCACGGCAGCCATGAAAAACGAAGCGTATTTAATATATTTACACCCTCATCTGTACAAACATCACCCCTACTGAAAAATCAACTCTTTTTTTATTTGGTATACAGGTAAAAACACACCTTCTGTGCTTTAGTGAGCGTCCACACACGAGGAGCTGCTCTGTGTGCGCTGTTTTACTTGTTTTTTTGGACACCCTTTTTTAAACTTTACTGCGTTTAAGTCATGTAGAACAGTGTTTCTCAACCACGTTCCTGGAGGACCACCAGCACTGCATGTTTTGGATGTCTCCATCTGTCACACAGGTCTTTCAGTCTCTGCTAATAAGCTGTCGATCAGAATCAGGTGTGTTTGGGTAAGGAGACACGGAATATGTGCAGAGCAGGTGGTATTCCAGGAGCATGGTTGAGAAACACTGATCTAGAACATGTGTGAACACACTGTTAAACCCAAAACATACTCAGTCCCTACAGGATTTTCAGAGTTAATCTGTTCTTAAGATAAAAAAATAAAAACATAGCAAGATATTTGTGTATTTTCACAGCAACACACAAGAATTGAAGTAAATAAAGGAGCCATTTTAGGCTGCAAATCTAAATAAATGCCTGTAAAGTCATTGGGAGACTGTCTTAAGGTCATTAATATTGCATTATTTTAATAAATAATGAATCAAATGAATCTAAAATATTAATACAATTTAAAATATCACAATTTTACCACGGATGTTGTCAGTTTCTTATGTCATTTGCTTATTACAGTTACATTTTTAAATATGTTACAATTTAATAGTTGTGTTAAATGCTAATAATATTGCACAATTTTTACCGTAGCTATTTTTCCCTTTGTTTTGGGTGGGTGTGAGCACATATACATCAAGAAAAATAACAAAAAACATTATTATATCTCTTTTTTTTCTTATATTTTGTAGTATTCTTTGGGAAATGTGTCAGAATAGTGAGTCATTGTGGAGAAAATAAATGATAACACAACTGGATATCTGGTTTATCTTGTTTGTTGCAGTGTGCTCGCAACACTAAAGCCATGGGTTCGATTCCAAATGAACAAAAGAGCTTATAAAATGCATCTAAAGGTAAATATTCATCGCTGGTATATACACTAACAAGGCTTTGACAATCCTCCGGCTGTGTGTATGCAATCAATCAGGAGCAGCTGTGTGTTCGTGGTGCATGACTGGAGCTTGTAGTCCATGGATCAGTGTATATACCAGCGATCTGCTCAAGCTGGATCACTGGTGACCGTGACAGATATGATCATTCCAGGTGTATAAATACAGATGTCTCTGGGTTTAGGTGGAAACTCTAGCGCCGCCTGGAGGACGGAGGGTTTGTTGTGTGTAAGTGTGTACTTTTTCGTTCAGTATTTCTGCAGTCTCACACTTTATAGATCTCTTTCGTGCAAGCAAACCATTGATAAACTAAATAAGAAAAGTATATATATCTTTGAAGTCCACAGACTGTTTCAGTGGTCAGCATTCACAGGTAAGTAGAAAGGATACAGCTGTGGATACTCACATCAATATAGCATATTTCTGTGATGCTGTACATTACTGTGAGGGTATTTTAATAAACAATATGAATAATAGTTGTCGTAAGTAGTGTTTTACATTGTTGTGATGGTAGGGATAGATGTTAATAAAATGTAATTGATGAGTAATTTGATAAGTAATCGCTTCGTTAACTTCTGGACGCAGCTGTATCCTTTCTAATAACAACCTCAGCAAATCCTCGCGTCTTATTGGATACAGCTGCGGATACTCACATCAATATATCTTTTTTTTTTGACACTACATCAATATTTAACTGTATGAACAATAATTGATTTAATTACTGCTTTTACATTGCTGTGATAAATGGGTTTAGAGATGGCTTAAACATTAATAAAAATGCAATTAATGGATAATTTAATAATAAATAAAATCAATACTTATCGTTAGCTTTCCGACCGCAGCTGTATCTCTTCCAGCAACAACCCCAGCACTTTGCGCTCTTCTGGGATACAGCTGCGGATACGTCAATACCGCGTTTTTGTGACACTGTACAACAATAATTAATATTTTTACATTACTGTGAGGGTTAGGGAAGGGGTAGGCGTTCATAAAATACAATTTAATGGGTAATTTAATAAATATGATCAATATCGTTAACTTTCCGACGCAGCAGTATCCCTTCTAGCAACAACCCCAGCACCTTGCGCTCTTCTGGGATACAGCTGCGGATACTTGCGTCAATATAGTTTTTTTTTTTTTTTTTTTTGACGCTGTACAAGAATAATTCAGATTTTTACATTACAGGGATGGTTGGGGTAGATGTTAATAAAATACAATTTAATAGGTAATGTAATAAATATTATAATTATCGTTAATTTTCCGGCGCAGCTGTATCCCTTTTAGCAACAACCCCAGCACTTGGCGCTCTTCTGGTATACAGCTGCGGATACTCGCATCATTACATCTTTTTTGTAACACTGTACAATAATAATTAATATTTTTACATTAATGAGAATGTTGGCGTAGGGGGAGGTTTAATAATATACAGTTTAATGGGTAATTTAATAAATAATATAATTATTGTTAGCTTGGCAGCTGCAGCTGTATCCCTTCTGGCAACAACCCCAGCACCTTGCGCTCTTCTGGGATACAGCTGCGGATACTCACAGCAATATAGCATTTAGTTATTTATTTTTATTTTTGTGACGCTGTAAAACAATAATTAATAGTTTTACATTACTATGAGGGTTGGGGTAGGGGATAGCTGTTAATAAAATACAACTTAATGGGTAATTTAATAAATAATCTGAATAATAATTGGTTTAATTACAGTTTTAACATGATTGTGATAGTTGGGATTAGGGTTTGAGCATTGTAAACGTTAAGAAAAAACACAATTAATGTGTAATTTGATAAATTCGAAAAGATTATTCTTGTAAGCTTTCCGGCCGCAGCTGTATCCCTTCCAGCAGCACATCCTCGTGCTCTTCATATCAACGTCCTT